CGGCACCACGAGGTGCCCAACCTGCCCAAACCCCAGCGTTGACGGGATTTAGCAGCGGCGAATCTGGCCTGTGCTCTCTGGCTGCCTGTTTGCCGGGGGCGCGGGGGGGTCCGGCTGTGGCAGGGTGAGCGGTGACAGATCCAGCCCCCCCCTCCACGCGCAGGAGCTGCAATCTGATCTCAGGGGGAAAGTGTGATTCATCGCAGGAGCTGGGAGCGCTTCCAGGGACGGATCTTGGCTCGGAGGGCGACGGCACCGTGCGCCCGCCCCTGCCCTGCCCTCGCAAGGTGGCCCCTTTGCCCTGGGTGGGTGGGGGGTCCCCGGATAAAGCCGTAGCTGTGGGGGGATGGCACCCAGGGGCATTTGCCTGAGTCTGGGGGGTTGGATGCCACTGGCCATTTGGGAACAGCTTGGCTTGCTTCACCTCCTGCCTCAGTTTCCCTGGCTCAGAGCTGGATGTGGCCCCCCCTCGGTGCCCCTCGGTGTGGGGATGCTGCTGTGGGAGCCGGCACAGGGTGAGCCCCGCAGGCGAGTCCCAGGACCTGGCACCTGGGGGCTCATCACGCACCCGCTACGGAGATGCCGGAGCCATCGCAGAAGTCCCGGTGCACCGGCCCAGGGGAAGAGGCTCTGGATAGATCCTGCGAGAGGGAGGCAAGGTCACCCCTGGGGCTGGAGGAGGAGGAAGAGGAAGAAGAGGAGGAAGTAGAAGAGGAGTGCCATGTGGGCATGTGCCCAGCTGGGGCGGAGATGAAAGGGAGAGCCCGAAGGCGCCGTCCACCCCGCAGGGACCTTGGGAGCTGTGCCGGCGCCAGCAGCTCCCGCTTATCTGGGTGCTGGGTCCCGCGCTGCCCTGCGGGGACGAGGGAAGCGCCATTCCTGCCACAGCTGCTCCCCAGGGAGACGGCGGCCCAGCCGGGGCAGCGGCGCGGGGACGGGTGGGGGGTCCAGCTGCGGGGACTGAGCACCGGAGCCCCCGCCAGCACCCGCTCCCACACCGCACTCCTGAGGCTTTATCTCTGCTCAGCCCCGGTACCGGCCTTTAAACACCGGCTGCTACCGGGATTTAAACTTTTCCATCAAGGCTGTTTGTCCCGGCAGCCCCCACTGCAGCCCCTCTGTGTGTCACATCGTGCCATGAGTTTATGGGTGCCCCAAGCAGCACTCGGCCACGCTCCTGCAGTGCCCACCATGGTGTGTGTGTGTGTGTGCGCGCGCACGTGTCCGTGTGCTTGTGCACGTGTGTGCACGGCTCAGCGTGCACAAACAGCCCGGAACAGGAGTCCCACGTTTTTGGCAGCCCAAAACGTCACTTGTGTGACGGAGCTGGCAGGGGCTGAAGTGGCAGGCTCAGGCCTGAAGGTGCCTTTGAAGCAGCGGTGACGGACGCCCGGTTTTGGGGACGTTCCCCTCTTCCCCCCGCTGCCTCCCGGTGCTGCCAGCCGCGCTCGGGCCGTGCCGGGGGATTTCATATCCCAGCTCTGGGGTTGCCACGTACCGTCAGCCCCATTGAGCGCCTGTCGCCAGCCCGTGAGGCACTTACGGAGCAAATAGCTGACGTGTTCGTGACATCCTACGTGGCACCCTGCGCTCGTCGGGCACCGGGGCTGCGCTGACTTTCCCCCAGGCTTTCTCTTTTCAAATCCAGGCACTCGCACAAGAGCTGGAGCCTCCTCTTGTGACCATGGGCCCCTGGGACGCTGCAGGGCCGGGTGATGCTCCTGGGAGGCTGTGACAGAGCCGTCCCTCCCAGCACGAGGGAGCCAGGCAGGGAACAACCGGGCTATTTATTCCTCACCATCCCCTCATACAACACACCCAGGCAAGGAGCTGCCTGCATTTGCTCTTCCAATGACATTTATGGCCCAGGCACTCTTTTATAAAACCCGTTTTTAAAGCAGTAGCGCAGTGCTGATTTTAACCAGCGCCCGTGTCCCAGCGATCTCTAACAGGGTCACTGCTGCCCGAGCACTGGCACAGAGGGCTCGTTGTTGGGATTTTCCATATTTTTGGGGCAAGAAGCAGGGATCAGCAGCTCCGGCTCCTGTCCCCATGGGAGGGATTTGGAGCGAGTGGCTCCTGCTCGGGGATGCATCAGGGTGGGAAGTGGCACTGGCGGGTCTCAGTGGGGCCGGGGTGGCCGTGTGAGGACCTTGTCCCCGCTGCCCACGAGCACCAGAGGCGTTAATGTGTAATGAGGGAGCAGTCATCCCTCCCGCTGCCCCAGCAAGGGGAAGGAAACAGGGATAGAGCACGGGCCAAGCACACCCCAACGACTGCACCGAGCTCGAGCCGTCCTGGCGCGAGCAGCCGGAGCTTCAGTGTGACGCCGCAGCCGGGGGCTGATGTGTTTCAGCACCCTTAGGTGCCATTTGGGATCTCACTTCCCAGGGTTCAGGCACGGCGGGGGGGGCTCTTAGGGCACGTGGCAGCCCCCTGCCTCTCTGATTCCCCTCCCGTGTGCCTCTGCCTTGGCCTGGCGGGAGCTGAGCTCCAGGCACTGCTCTCCCCGCCAGCTGCCCGGTGTCCTTGTGACCATCTTGGCCCTGCAAGCGGAAAATGAGTTACCCAGCTGCGTACCCCGGCACGCTGCCGGCGCTGGAGCTCTCTGGGGAGGGGGTGAAGCTTTCTGGGGCTCTGCATGAAGGTCTGGCGCTTCAGGGAGCTCCTGGACTTTCCGTCATTACCAGGACCAGGACTCTAACGGAGGGAAAACTGGGGAAGACCTTCCTCTTTGTCTTCCTCCCTTACTGTTCTCGCCCATCTGACGAGAGCTCTCCCCGGAGGGTAACAGATACTCTCCCTCTCACTGTGATTATTTGGACAATGAGCCATAACTGTGCAAATATATTTTTCAAACTGGTTCTGCTTGCCATCCGAGGAGGGGCAAGATGTGAAAACCAGGATCTTTTTTTGGAGGCTAATGACTCGGAAGTCGGAGCCGGCGGCGGAAAGTCAACACAAACACCCTAATTGGGGATTAGTTTCTCCCCTGTGCAGTTCCACCTCGACGTGGGTCAGCAAAGCCTCGGAGGGCTCAGCCCTCACCCCGGGAAGGAGCCTGGGGATCACGGTGGGCCGGCGGGTGCTGCCCAATGGTTTCAGAGCTCATTTAGGTCTGGAGTCTGGGTTCAGGGGGGTGAAGAGAGGGGAACAAGAGGCAGAGACACAGAAGCACAGCAAGCCCCAGCCCTCCTGCAGGCATTGCCCAGGATTCAGAGTCACGTCCTCATCCCCCATCGCTGGTACGACTGAACCAAGCAGGATGCTCGGGTTTGCACAGCCCACGAGACGCTGCGTGCTGGCACCCGAATCCCACAGGAGACAGCAGCACGCCGGGAAGCCTGCGGGAGGGACGGACTTCTTGTTTTATAAGTTCTTCTAGTCATTTCCAGCCGTTGGCAAACTCCTCCGGGCGCACGGCCAGGCCCTCGCGAGCCTCCGGGAAGGATGCGGCTTAAAAGCAACGATGCAGCTTTTCACATCAGGAAACGCATCCGCACCGGGACCCAAACCCGCCCGAGCTGGGAGTGTGGAAATGAAGCAGAAACCACCTGTTTTCTGGCCTGGGCTCATGCCACCGGTTTTACCGGGCATCCCACCACCGACCGACCTGCTCGCTGCCGGGATGTGTCACCGCTCCGGCCCTGGGTCTCGTGTGTCCTGTTGTCCCCTCGCAGCCGGATCTGCGTGGTCACACTCCCGAGCAGCGCAGGCTGGTAGCGAGCAATGAAATCTTTTCGGAGAGCCGCTGCCATTCCCGGGACAACTCCCAGGAGCTCTCTGGGCTGCAGGCAGAGGCTGGTAGAGCCACGTCAGGCAGCTGAGCCC